TATAATTGTTGGTATCACACATAATTCTAAGTTCTCTTTTGAGAAAGATAAACTTGCATTATATTCTAGTAAGAGTGTACCATCCATTAAAAAAACACTCAAAATGAAAATTATTTTGATGGCATGAAGTTATTTTTATAACAATTTGATGACATAGTGGCATTTTGAGAATGATATTTCTATTTGATCCCAAAAAGTCCTTTTTAACTCAAGTTACTAAGGGTAGATAAAGAGAAATTTGATGTGGGGTGCTAGTACCTTTTAAGTCAATTTTCCGATGGTGCGAAGAATCCTTGTAAATTCATTTGGAAGGGCCTTCAGTGAAGTCATTATTTTTGGGCTGATGTTGTTGGTTTGCATTTCCAACGTAGGCGCTCTGCAGTGCAAACTTCGATTTATGTGAAAAGTTCCAATTTTGTTATAAAAAAATTGTTAGAGCTGGAGGATAATGTATGAAATTGGTCGATGAATTTAAAAGGAAAATAACATTCACACTAAAAATCACAGAGCGAAATAAGCAATAAAAAAAGGCGAGCATGTATCAATCTTTGCATATCAATACTAGGCACCAACCTGGACGTCTTAATGTGGTCGGCATCTTTAAGGAGCTCCTAAGCCTTATACATAAATTAGGTTAGGGATGCATATCATTTGTAAAATATCATTGGCATAAAAATGACCAATACTAACTTATTTTTTAGACAATTGTGTAACTCTAGCCTGCAGATGTCTTGACTCAAAGGTTATTGTGATCTCATTATCTAAAATTATCACTTTCCTTGCTTCAATTCAATGATGATGGCATGGCTCTGAACTACCACAACATCAGCCTTAAGCAATGTTTAAAATTGCGCAATTGAGTTTTGATGCGTTTTTTGTTCGTGAGGCGAGGTGTAAGCCTCAAGGCGTCACGCCTCAAAATCAAAAAATTGCGTAAAATATAAATTAAGGTAAAAGTATTTTTTTTATATAATACTCAAATAATATGTTAAATAATAACATATTATCTTTTTATTGAATTATGAAGTAGCAAATTGATATACATATGAAATAAAAAATTGCACAAGAAGTAAAGTGACAAGTGATAAATTGCATAAAATATAATTAAAATGAAAATATTATATAAGAAAAAAATATTAAATATAGAAACTGCATAAAAGTATCATATTAGATTAAGTTTAACTACAAATTCTTTATTTCTCAGTTCCCTACTTCCCTAATCATCCATATTTAATTTCTAAAAAAGGTTGAAATAGTTGGCAACTAGAAAATCGTCTAGGGGATCTTTATTTGAGTCGTCATTATAGCAAATTGATCTCTCCCCTGGCTCATCCTATGGAGTCTAATATTTCTCAATATGCTTATTCTTCATTTATTTCAGTTATCGTCCTCTTTCACAAATGCTTTTCATCTACAAGAGATGAGATTAATACTCCAAAATTTTTAGAGGAGGAGATGGTGGTGATGTGTTGCTTTCAAGTGATCCTAGATGGCGGCTGCGACGGTGGTGGAGGTTGAGGCAGTCGAGAGAAAGTTGCTGCGACTCGAGGGGTGTATGAATGGTGATTTGTTCGGGGCTTTACTTCAAGATTTACGTAAGTTTTAAATAAAAATATATATAAATTTGGTGAAGTGTAAAGCTCATGGCGCGAGGCGAGGCGCGCCTCAAGGTGGGCCTCAACCAAGCTGAGGCACATGACTCATAAAAAAACACTCGAGGCATAAGCCTCGAGGCGTTTTTCACTAGATTTGCGTTGAGGCGAGCCTCATATTGCACAATTTTAAACAATGGCCTTAAGTATGGTTAAAGACATAAATTTGGCATGCTCCTCAAGCATCTTTGTTTCCTACAACTCATGCGTTGTTGTAGCCTACTCGAGCAACTTCTTTGTTTGCTATTGAACTAGCTTCTTCATGTCCATCTCTTAAGGTTGCGTCATTGCTTACACGTCTTGTAGCTTTATCGCTCTCTCCCCTATCAACTTCCATCATCTCCACTTTGCCATGTAGCTTCATCACTTACTCATCAGCCGACTTTATCGTATGCTCTTTGTGAAACTACGACACTTCTCTATTGGCTTCGTTGCATGCTACTTGTGTTGTCCATTCTTCTGTTCCTTGTTTTATTGCCTACACCTCGTTATGTTTTATTTGAATTTGTTATTTCTGGTCAATTGATTTCATCGCTAGCCCTTCAGTTCACTTCGTCAATTTCTCCTCTTCTTGAAGCATTGTTGCCTATTCTTTAGGGGGGCATCTTCTTCATTTTACGCACCTTTTTTGTGCATTTCTTATCTGACGAAGTCATCTTGCACTTTTTGATGTGGCTTTGTCAACACTCGGCCTTTTGTTGCCTATACTTCATGTGGCTTTAATACCACTTCTTAACCCATTGTGTTGCTTACCCCTCTTAATCTTTGGTTTTTGCCACCTGTTTCTCACATGACTTTGTGGCTCACTTTTTAGCCAACTTCATCGCTTGTTCCTCATTCAAATTTACATCTAAGCATTGATTTTATTTGTTATATATTTTCACGATATTTCATATTTCTCTTCTCAATCGACTTCGTTTCTTGTACAGAACTACAGATTCATCTCCTGCTTCTCGTTTGGCTTTGTCTTTGGTACATCCTCATATAGTTTTGTTGCACACACCTCTTTGTTCAGCTTGATTGACTGATCCTCAGTTTATCAATAGGAAAACTCTTTTAATCAATGTTGAAGGAACCATTCTTAACTCTTCGAGGCAAATTCTTCCAAAGAATTTGATGTTGCCAAGGCTTGAGGAATCATGAATATATAAATAGCTAGTGATTGAATTGAGTGTGATAGAAAGGACATTATAAGATAGCAGCCTAACAACCTACAAAATATCAAGAGAAATAGTTATTTGAAGTAACACTTCTATAGATAAGTTAGTATAGTAAATTAGAACTGGGTTTTGTGCTTGAATAGGGAAAGAGATGACTGCAAAATTAATGCGAAAGTGTCATCATTCATTCAATTAGAGGTTTGTTGATGGGCTCCAATAAAACAGACTTACTATTCATGCAGTAATAAATCTTTAGAGCCACTTGGGATAAATCTCTATCTTAAATTTTTGTATTTATTTTTCATTTTGATATAAAATAAAAATATATTTGGCATGATAAGCATGAATCATTTTATTTTTATTTAATATCACATATGTCGATTTATGAGGTGATCGTGATGGTAGTGGCAATAGGCTCGGCATTAGTGGTGGTGGTGAGCAGCTATTTGTGGTGATTTACATTTAGAAGCTAATTAAAACACCTAAAAAACCCTACAATTTGTTTTAAATATTTCTAAAAAAGTAAAAATACTTTATTTTTAAAAAGAAAATTAGTTAAAAACTCAAATCTTTTTTTTTTTTTCCTAAAAGATGATCCCGAATTTGCAAAAGCTGACTCCACGTACTTGTTTTGATTAAGACTAATGACTGAGGCAATGCATGTGGACATCAGTTAATTGACAGCTCCTTTTATTTCTTTATCTTGAAAGCCCGATCCGATGTATTGTCATTATGCTTTTCTCAGCTTATGAACAACGAATAAATCAGATGGAGAGGGTTTTTTTTTTCTCCTTATTAATTATTCTCTTGAAGGAATCCATTTTTTACGAGGACGTTTGCCATAATACATAGACTTCTAGAGTCCTAGTTAGTGACTTGGGCTTTGTGTGGTAATTGTTAATTGTTGTGCTGAATCAGATTTTTAAAAAAAAACAGTCGATCTACTCTCGCGTTGATATATGTTTATTTCCTATTTTTCATGAAGTCTTAGAGAGAATGCACACTTGAGGTAGGGATTTTGGAAGCATATTTGTACCAAAATCAAATTGTATTTTGAAAAGAAGAACTTAAGAACTTTAGTCTCTGTTATACAATTAAAAACAATATAATCCTTTGAGAAACTAGAAGAAGAATGGTTCCAGTCAAAGATAGATTAAAAATCTTGTCTCAACCTTACCTGTGCTAAGATTGATGTAACACAAGAGTCCTCTGTTTGGAGTTTAGTTTATCATTTGTTTGATGTAATGCTATTTATTCAGAGTAGTTGTTTTTGGCTGAGGAGATTAAGTTTCATTTAATTTTAATTTTCTTGAGGTTAGTTTGTCTTTTTGAATAATATCAACTATATAAAGAATAGCTTATGATCATTGAATTGATAATAATGCTCGACTTCTTTTAATGATATTAAAAGATAAACTGGTGAAGTTAAAGGATTCTGCTGTTCTCTTTTTTTTTTTGTTTTTGTGTGGAATGTGGTATGTACTTGTTGTCACGTCTCTTAGGAGGTGCTTGGCGGCATAACTAATATCTCGGCGAGCCTACCAGCAACCAACCCCACAGGTGCAGGACCCGCAATTATTTTCTCCCCACTTAAGGGGTTGCACCGCATGAGAGGAGATTCGAGTATGGGTTTGGGGGTTCCCAACCATGCTCATCCACCAACCCAGCTAAACCCGATGTGGTTTTTCTCTCTACCTTACTCAGTGTAACAACGGCTTTCCTTCCTGACTACAAGACACTTGAAAAATCCTCATAATGACATATATACTAGTTACTAAAGCTTTCTCTTACCTTTTTCCTGAAGGTGTTAGAAGCCTACAAGAGAAGACTGAACAAGTGGAGCGATGTGATGCTGAAACTCAGCACTCAAAACCTGCTCTCAATGATTTCTACTGAACTTTAAAACCTTCAAATAATGGTCATAAAATTGATAATTATTAAATTCTATTATGATGAACACTTTTTTTTATTTTTTATTTTATGATGTACATACACTATGTGACATAATGAAGATGGTACAAATCTTGCATTGAATGATAAATCATTTTCTTGATTGTCCATTGATATAGTATTTGAAGCAACATAAAATAGTTTTATAATAACTTTTTATAGTAAAAAATTACAGTAAAAAATTTGTATCAAATGAAGCTTTAGTATCTCAAAATATTTGCATGATCATAATCATTCTATAGAACATCCATTAAAGATTAAAGAATAGAAGAGAGTGAAAGGCCTAGCTAGCAATGCTTCCTCCAACACAAATAATCTGAAAAACTGATAACATTTTACTAATTAAGATTCATTAACCAAAATAAAAAAGATTAATCACTAAATTATTCAATAACATTAACCACAACATTAATCAAATAATGAAATGAATTTTTTTAAAAAAAATACTAATCTGATGAATTAGATTCTTGAGATTTTCTATGACCAAGCCTCAGCTCCAAATCCAAATCCTCCTCAACCAGCTCCTTCTTCTTCTCCTTCTCCTCCTTCGAGCCCGACCCGCCCAACCCAAGTTGCAGCTCTTCGCCGGCTTGAGCCAGTTCCGTCGCTCTTTGTGAGCCTTCTTCCGACGAAGAAGCCGGGAAGTAAACCACATAGCTTGATGATGAGGACTGCTCGCCTGCTGATTGTTTGGGAGGAGGCCGTTGGGCTCTGGAATAAGGATGGTAAGCCTCTTCGCTCTTTCTTGGGCTGGAAGGAGACGGTCGGGCGGGTCGCAAACGGGCCCGATCATGTCGGTGCATGTTCATGTGCCCGCCCAACGCCTGCGCTGTGGTGAAACCTCTCTTACAGTAGACGCAGTCGTAGAACCGGGCTGAGCCGCCGGTGGAAGTGCCCGGTTCGTCGGCTGCCGGCTCACTTGATTCGGCCTGACTATCGCCGGCTGCCTTCAGCTTCTCCTCCTCTCCTTCTTCTTCCATGGCTTACGGAGGAGGAAGACAGACGCGTTTTCACATAAGGCTGAGGGAGACTTCTCTATATAAGCTTTTATAAATATAAATATATATATGGTGGCCGGCCGGAGAAATCATAAGGCTGATGTTGAGTCTTGTATATATGATCTTCGTGTGAATTTAACTTAGGCTTCGTTTGGTACGACTTTTTTATTGTTTCTTAAAGTAGCTTCCTAATTCAAAATTTTTAATTTTTGTATTAGGAAGCTGCTTTAAGAAGCAATAAGAAAGCTGTCCCAAACGAAGCCTTAATTGATGTAGATGTCTCAAAAAAAGTACAAATATGTTGATAATTTTTATGTTGGAACTTGGAAGAGAATTATAACATGTGGTTTAATGTCTATGTGACAGTTTTTCATTATTTTTTGCATTTTTATTTAGTGATGATGATTCTTTGCTATAACTATAACTGAATATGTTTATTTATAATTATAATTATAAATTTAATATAACAAATTTTTTATTAATTTCAAAATTCTTCTTTGAAAATTTTATTTTTGGGAAAACATATTTGCTATTAATGATGAAAGTGTAAAAAATATAAGTTGGCTTAATGGAGCCTATTTGATCATTCAGTTAAAAATTATTTTATTTATGTATTTTTGGGGGATTTTGAATGAATTTAATTATAAATTAACACTTATTTTTTCTTATGTTAGATCTCAAAAAATAGGACATAATGATTTGAGCCAAAATACTCGATCACTAGATTAAGATTTCGTTTGGGATGATTTTCTTAAATCTGATTAAAATCATTTTATTAACTGACATTTGTCTTTACTTTGGATGTGCAGTTCTGAGAATAAAATACAAAATTTATAAAAAAAAAAATTAATCTCTTTTATTTTATATATTTTAAATTTGCATTCATAAATATGTGTAAATAATTGAGAAAATTTTGAAAAAAAAAAATTCTTTTTCTTGATCAGAGATTCAGTATATATGAGCCTACCATTTGGGGGTTTTCTGCACAGAGGAAAGATGGCTGTGTTGGTAGAGAAGGCTTTGGAATGTTCATTTTCATGTGAAAGGTATCTTCTTTGGAAGCTTGAAGAATGGGAGTCTGCCATTTAGTGCATAAATAAGCTTGTTTATTCATACTTCTTTTTTCCTTGTTGAATTTAGGGGATATTTGGGGTTTATTTTATTTTATTTTATTTTAATTATATTTCGGTTTGAAATAAAATATATTTGATATTTTAGAATTATATTTTTGTTTGCTGAGGGTGACACTAATGCTGATGTGGTGATGGTGGTGGGAAGCGGTGGTGAATGATGATGGGTGGCGGATAGTTGCTAGCGTTGATATTTATTTTTAAAAATACTCAAAATATCTAATATTATTTTGAGTGTTTTTTAAAAATAGCTTGAATGCTTTGTTGCAAGACAGAATATTTACGTGTTGTAGTAGAAATGATTATACTGGTGTTTGTCATCAATTACAAATGATATATGCGCTTCTCCTAGGTAGGAAATATATTGATATAATATAGTACAAATCAAATTTATGTGGTAGAACTTATAGGGGCAATGTGGCATAGAAGTTATCTTCAAGATATTATTTGTTCTTTGTTCGGTTGTTCTCTTTTGAGGAAGAGATCAAAGGCCAAGAAGTCTAGCATAAGTCTTAAAGCTAACATCGGGAGTCCTAGTTGGTGCCAATTGTGCGCATCGATCATGTGGTTGAAGGCATGCATTGATGTTGTCGGGGTGTAGCTAAGCAATAATAGTCTAAGTATTGTAACTTGAAGATGGTCATCGAAGAACCGCAAATGTGCAGCAATTGTCAAAAGATTGTAGTCGAGTTATGGTGGTTGGGGAACCCTAGTCATGCAATAATAGTTGAAGGACCATAGTTGAGTAATTGTGGTCAGAAGACTAAAGTTGGGCAATCGTGGTTGAAAGAAAATAGTCGGGTGATGATGGTCATAATCGTAGCTAGACAATGATCATCAACCGGGTGATGGTAATCAGAGGATAATAATCAAGCAATATTAATCAAAATATCGAAGTCAGAAGATGATGGTAAGGGGACTATATAGTCAGGCAGTAATGGTTAAAGACCCACAATCAATCGATGGTCAATGGATCACAATTGGGCAATGGTGGTCGAAGGGCTATAATTATGCTTTTAAATATATGGTTGTGGATTTGATTCCCAAAAATGATGCCAAACTATTGTACGCTAAAGAGAGGTAGTTTAATATCTTAGTATATGCACATAGACCTAACATATCCACATATAAAAGAGGATGCAAGAGCCACCTAAGTTCTATGGGGAAAATCCAAAAAAGAGAAAAAATCATAGGATCTATCTTAGTTGAAATGAGTAATTATTATTGGTTAAAAATAATATATTTTTCTTTGATTAAGATGTTGATGCAATATAATAGACAAAAACTAAGTAAAATAAATTCCATGATACATGCTAGAAGAGCCATGTGGCATGGAAATTATTTTCAATATATTATTTGATTTATTCTCTTTTGTGGGTAATGGCATGCCTTCATGCTGTTGGTGATGGCAAGTGATAAGTTAACAAGTGTCGATATAACCAATCAACAATGATCAGGATATTGTAATCAAACTATGATGGTTGGATGATCATAGCTAAGCAATGATGGTTAGAGAACTGTGATCACGTGATTTTAGTCATAGGATGTAATCAAGGGAAGGTGGTCGGAGAATTGCGGTCCAATGATGGTGATCATAGGATTGTAGTCAAGCAACAATGATCAAAGAAATGGAGCTAGATAATGATGGTTGGAGCAAAATAATTAGGCGATGGTACTTCGAGTGTTGTACTTTGATGCAACTTTGGGATTCTTCAAGCCTTCAAACTTTCTTGAATTTCAAGCCTAGGTCCAAGCCCCTTTCATGTAGAAAGTGGAAGCCAATTTAAAATTTTTAGAGTGACATGTCTCATAAATATAACCACATTTTAAAACACTATTGCATGACCCTTATTAATTTTTTTCAATTATAAACCGTTCATTTAACATTTAAGTGCCTTAAGAACATCATAATTAGATAATTTTAGGCTTATTAGATTCATCTCATCAAGACGCTTGATTTAATTATAAAAATGCAAGATTTGAAAATCTCTAATCCTACAATTAAATTCTAAAATTTTTTAGCTTGCTTCATGTGCTTGATTTGGGTGAAATTAGATGATCACATCATCTCACCGAGACATCCAATTTGATTATAAGTTCACTAAAATGAAAATTTGAATGGCCCTAAATTTAAAAAAAAAAAAGTTACCAATTCAAATATGCATCAATATCCATGCCCAATCAAGTCACTTTTTTATTACAAATCAATTTTTTTAAATAAAAAATAAACACGTATAAAATACATCCAACAACCATATTTTTAAAACTTAAACACTAACATATTTGTATACTTGTTGCTCAGCCATTTTAGACACCAACCTTGTATTGTATTTTTCGAGCTTAAGCATGCCTTATAACGAACACTTATAATATAATAAAATAAGGATATAATAAAACAAGGTAATCCCGAGTTCGGTTGGGAACCCCCATCCCGAGTTCAATTCGCCCTTAAGTGAGACCAGTTAAGCGTTGCCCCCGAGTACATGGTTTGGTGTGGGTCCGTTGGCTAGGTCGACCGGGTTTACGAACTGCCATGCGCCCGGGTGAAGTCCGGGTGACAGTGGACGATTCCTCGTCAAAAAAAAAGTTAATAAAACGTTTTAATAAGTTCAAATTTCTTCCCAAAGTTTATCTATTGTGGAGAGGATCAAGCATTTTGAATTTTGATAATGGTGGTCAAATAACCTCTCCCTAATGTCTTCAAGTAAAAAAAGAAAACATTTAGTTCAATCAAGAGGTCCCTCATGCATATTGAGGGGGTATCAGGTTCCAATTAGTTTGATAGTTATTGATGATAGAATATACAAACTGGGTATAAGAGACAATTGAAAGTGGTTAAGGCCCCCACCATCTCTAACTAGCTCAAGTGGATTGAGTTAGATTTCATTTTGGACAGTTTTCTTACTGCTTTCTAAAACAACTTTTTGATACAAAAATTTCTTGAACACAATGAAAAAATAATGATCAAAAGCTATCCCAAACGAAACTTTAATTCATAGGCAAATCATGCCAACCCTTTGAAAGCCCCCACCAATCTAAAACCCAAACCCAAACCATCTAACATTGAGATAAGCTCCAATCAAACACAAAACACATATATTAATTGCTACTTCTATTATCAAGCCATCATAAACTCAAAATCAAAAATAATTTGTCAGCCTAACACCCTTACTTGAAACTAGACTCAAATATATTCTAGTAAATTTATCTTCAACTGAAAAATCAATCAAATTTCAAGATGAACCTACAATGGGCAGTTTAATCAATCCCTTCATAAGTTGGACTAGCCTAAGAATATAATGGGCAATGAAGAGTTCAATTAAAGACTTACTGAATTTGAGCTGCCTTCACACCTAGTAGTCTTCATCTCTTTTACCCTCTGTTACTTGTCTTATAAGATCAGGTTTTTCAAGGTCCCAAAAATAAGAAAGAAACACAATAAAGCAGCTCGGTGAATTTCTTCATCCAATTCAATTGCAGCTGAATGTTTATAATAGCACAAAGATAATGTAAGTTAATTACACAGAAACGAGAGTCCTATTTTCTGGCATTAGCTCAAATGACTGATGTACATTGAACATAAAAGCTGAGTAAGGTCAAGGATCAGGATTGCCTGGAACGGCTTCCTCATCGCTGGATTCATATTCTTCGTCACTCAGTACTTCATCGCTGGAATTTCCATCAGCTGCAGAGTTTTCATGCTTTGCATACCTCTCACAGTATTCTGGAACGATGTATAGGAAAAAAAATATAAGTAGCAGAGGAAGATGGCTTGTAACTAATCGTTTTGTTATGATATGCTCTTAGCCTTCATTTGGGATGGCTTTCTTACTGCTTTTTGAAGCAGCTTTTTAGTATAAAAATTAAAATTTATATACTAGAAAGCTACTTCAAGAAGCAGTAAAAAAGCCGTCTCAAACAAAACCTTAGTATCATTCTATGGTTCATTCAAGCACCATGATTTGCTTGAAAGGAAGGCCCACTTGAAGCGTGGAAACTATATATGACCACAGAAGACGAAAAAACAACAGAAGAAACAAATATCTGCTATAAAAGTAGATTTATGGTTTGAAGAGTTCATAAAAGACTTGGATAATGGAATACAGTGCTTTCCTGCTGAGTCTTACCACTGTAGATGAGTGATAGTTGCAGGTAATAGCAACTGACAAGCCAACAATCACTCGAGGAATGAAAATGCAATGGAAGCTATCACATTACCACGAGAGTACATTTTTTGAACAGTTTGAGAGCAACTATATTCTTCATCATACGGAAAGAGCAGTCTTGTTGTATTGACGACTAGCCAAACTACAAACCAATATATAACGTGGGATACTGGGAAAGGGGAAGAAAAAATAAATGTCTCCTTGAAATTAAATTTGACCAATTTTTTTCATCATAGTTAGATAGCTTACAAGTTAGCATTTTCCTGAATGTTTAGAAGTCCGCATTTTGAAGGCTATCTAGTAATTGTTTAGCAGAAATAATCCCACTAAGACAAACATCCTAATTAAGAGGATGGATACTGGTGTCATTATAAAGTCAAAATAAAACTATCTGAAAAACGATGGAGTATACATACCTTTTTCTTTACCATTTGAATTTAGCACTTTCTCACAAGCCTTCAACAACAACTGAAAACTCTTATTAAGCGACATATGAAGGCACAATTGCTACACTTGAAATGTTAAATATGGATCTTGTGGTTGATTTTCAAAGGTAATTAAGACCAGCATGGAATTTAAGGAGTTACTGGTGCATTTCATTTGTCAACCCTTACATGAATTGCACTTCAGCTTCCAAAAAGTTTCAAATAAGTTCAGTTACTTCAGTATTTCTCTATTATCATAAACAAAACTAGACAATCCATTTAACAAGTACATTACTGACATGATAATTTCATGCTTATTTTTTACAGTTGAGTCATGAAATCATCAAATGAACAAGTTTCGTAGGTTATTATATGATGTTATTTTAGAAGTACTCTTGTTCATACAGGTACATCATAAAGCAATAGCTAGGAAAAGAGTGTGCAGAACAAACAGAATAAACTTGGCGTTGTTGGGAAAACAGTTTTTCATTTTTTAGGGTGTTATTCTTCTAGTCAAATTTTCAAAGAGCAAATAATCAAGCTTAATTATTCTTTAAGAGCTTTTGTTTTATTATTTAATTTTTTTTATTTTTCCTTTTTTTTTCACCGTTTATAACATACTTGGCAATCTCTCAAATATCACCAACTAGTATTAAGATATTGTGACCAACTTAGAAGGTTTACTGAGCAGGTTCTTGAAGAAGAGCGTGGTAAGTTGCCTCATAAGAAGGAAATACAAGTTATTCTTGATGATGATGATGATGATGATGATGATGAACTGGAGAAAGCCAAAGAAACTAGGTTGAATTCTTGAGGCGACGTTCTAGCCCAAGCTGCTGGTATTTTACTAGAGATGAGGTATCAAAAACCTCGAGAGGAACCGACAAGGTAAAGTTGCCACAAAAACAAAAAAAATCTCACAAAAGGAAGGCTAAGATGCATTCTTATGTTCATTTTCATAAAGACATTTAGCCAAACCATAACGATGAAAGGGATAAGTCATCCTTTTGATGGGGGAAATAAGGACGAGTAGCGGTTGATTCTGGTCACCGTTTATCTTGATCCTATTGTTTTCTCTGACTACCACCATAAGCATTTGACCAAGTTTAAGTTAAACGACTTCAACAAGTAGATGATGAGAAGACTAATGTCGACTTGATAGACTGCCTATTTTCTGGCCAACAACCACAAAAAATCAGTTGCAAAAAATATCAACATGAGGGGCGAGCTAGATCAAATTTGTAGGGAGAAAGAAAGTGTATTTGCATTTTTAAAGCAAAAGGATATTCTTTTTAAGAAAAATTTGGAGATTGAACCAAAGAACAGAAATTTGCAAGGGAATTGGAGAATCATTAAAAAAAAAAGAAAAAAAAAAAAAGCAATATGCTCTGGGCACAACAATCAACAAAGCATTGAATTCCAGATTTATATTAACAACTTGAGTAGTCTTGAGCATAATCATAGATTTTAAAAAAATAACAGTCGCTCACACCTTTCTTCTCAAGCCAAAATGGCTAAGTTAGAGGAAATTTTGAAGAAATCACATGAAAATTAGGCTGATCTGACTTCTCAATATTTCAAAGTCACCCTGATGCGGACATCCGATCATGAAGATTTTCAAAGGAGGAGACGACGGTTGACAGCCGGGATCATTCCACTTTATCTTAATTTGTTATTTATAATTTTTATTTTTATTATGAATTTTCTGTTTTTACCATTTCTTAAGAAGGTCATCCTATGTAAGCTCTAGGGGAATATGTCTTGTTTTAGTTTCTTAGGCCTATATATAGAGGTCATTGCTTATGTAATGTAATGATGGATTATTAATAAAATTTTCTTTGCACTTGTGTTCTTTGGAGAGAACTTGGGTGAGATTCCTATGGGAGGGAATCGGAGTTTCCACCAACCGCAGGATGGGTCCGGGCTAATGGCTTGAAGTCCCTTGGAGAAGGGCAGCGTATTACCCGTCAGCTGCAGGTTGAATTTCAAATACTTTCCTAAAATTATCTAAGCTAAATTAAAAAAGTTCCTAAATTTAAGTCTAATTTGATTTTTAATTAGATTTGATTTAATTACCCTTTTCCTAATTTAGAATCATGATTTAGGAAGATTAAATTCCCTCCAAAACCCTCTCTTTCCTTAATTAGATTATCATTAATTTGGAAAGAAATTTAAATTCAAATTAATCTAATTTGAATTTCAAATCCTTCCTAATTAATTACTTTAATTTTGGAAGCTTCCCTCATCCTATTAATTAATCAAATCTGAAATTGATTGATTAATTAATCCCTACATACATTGAACCTAGACACCCCTTCCCTCCCCCTCTTTCTCTTGATTGGAGCCAATCTTGCTTTGATAGGCTACTTTCCTAGAATATTATAGATAATTTTGGAAAGAGAATCAATCTGATTTGAATTCAAATTCAAATTTTAAATTCTTTCCTAAAATATCTAGTGTTAAATTAGGAAATCTCTTAAATCAATCCAAATCAATTTCAAATTAAATGGGATTAATTATATCTCTTTCTAAAACTGAAATTTAATATTTGGAGAGCATTAACTCCACCAATCCACTTTCCAAACTCATGCATGTCATCGGTTTCCCCACCTTCTCTCTCCTATCTCCCTCTCTCCCCATTAATTCCCCTTCTCTCTCCAAAGGGGAAGTTAAATTTAAATTTCAAATTCCAAATCCCTCCAAATTAAAAATTTGAAAATTAAATTCAGATTTTAAGTGGCTAGCCGCTCTCGTTCTACATCACACCCTTATTAAGAAGTTGATAGAATTTGATGAGTACAAGCACAAGATCAAAGCCAAATATGGAGTAATTTTTTTCTTGGATGTTCTAAGGAACATGGACTGATCTATCCCGTTTGATAGGACTTGAGTTTCTTATAATACAAAGTATTAAACCAACCAAGCAATAATGATTTTTCGCAGAAAGAGAATAGCAAACATTCCTAAAAATATGATTATTATAGTAGCAATGATTTTTTTAAGTCCTATTTGGATGACTTCTAGTACTTATTTTGATGAAATACATTTGCACTTTTAAATTTATATATTTTTGTTTATTTGTGAAAACGCTTGCATATTCCAAATAGGAATAAATTGAATAGTTGATAGTGAAGAACTAAGTGTAATGAATGACAAATCAAATTTCTAACGCATTAATTATGAGTCAAGTTCCTAATAATATTGTAGGAATATCCAGCAATATTTCGAGTAGAGGCATATCTAAAAATATGTCGAGCAATAATATATCAAAGTATATGCTAAGTAGAGACATATCCAAGAATACATCAAATAAATTTAATCATTTATTTCAAAAATATCATTGCCAACTTCATGCGGACATCCGATGGTGGACAATATTCAAAGGAAGAGTCGAAAATGGACGGCCGAGATCACTCGGTTTTATTTTTGTTTATTTCAAAGTATTTCCCTATTTCGGTTGGGTTACATCAAGGATCAGCCTTAAGCCCATATCTTTTTGCTTTAGTCATGGATGTTCTCACTAGACATTTGCAAGAGGATGTACCTTGGTGTATGCTTTTTGCTGATGATATTCTGTTGTTGTTGTTGTAATTGTATTTTGATTTAATTTTGCAATTTTCCTTTTTACCCTTTTTATTTAAAAGTCATGTCTTATGTAAGCCCAAGGGGCAAATTTGTCTTTTAGTTTCTTTTGAGACCTATATATAGATGCCCTTCTCTTGTATTAGGTATGATGGATTAATAAAAAAATTGTTTCTACATTTTGTTCCTTGGGAGGACTTTGGTGAGATCCCTATGGGAGGGAAACGTAGTTTCCACTAGCCGCAGGATAGGTCCAAGCTCGTGGCTTAAAGTCCCTTGGTGATGGACAATGCAACACCCGTCAGCCACAGGAAGCGTCCGGGCTCACGATTTCTTTATTTTTTTCTCCTTATTTTTTTTCCTAATCGCCATCTCCATCCTCTCTCCAATCCCGTCAGCTTCAACCCCTCCACCCAAATCCGCCGGCCTCTTCCCACAACCCTCTCTTCTTCCCCACCAAAATTCGCCATCCCCCTCCTAAGCCTAACCGGCCATCTTTCCCCACCTCCAATCCGCCAACACCCTCACAAACCCTAACCCTAATACCTCCA